AGTAGTAGTAGTAGTAGTAGTAGTAGTAGTAGTAGTAGTAGTAGTAGTAGTAGTAGTAGTAGTAGTAGTAGTAGTAGTAGTAGTAGTAGTAGTAGTAGTAGTAGTAGTAGTAGTAGTAGTAGTAGTAGTAGTAGTAGTAGTAGTAGTAGTAGTAGTAGTAGTAGTAGTAGTAGTAGTAGTAGTAGTAGTAGTAGTAGTAGTAGTAGTAGTAGTAGTAGTAGTAGTAGTAGTAGTAGTAGTAGTAGTAGTAGTAGTAGTAGTAGTAGTAGTAGTAGTAGTAGTAGTAGTAGTAGTAGTAGTAGTAGTAGTAGTAGTAGTAGTAGTAGTAGTAGTAGTAGTAGTAGTAGTAGTAGTAGTAGTAGTAGTAGTAGTAGTAGTAGTAGTAGTAGTAGTAGTAGTAGTAGTAGTAGTAGTAGTAGTAGTAGTAGTAGTAGTAGTAGTAGTAGTAGTAGTAGTAGTAGTAGTAGTAGTAGTAGTAGTAGTAGTAGTAGTAGTAGTAGTAGTAGTAGTAGTAGTAGTAGTAGTAGTAGTAGTAGTAGTAGTAGTAGTAGTAGTAGTAGTAGTAGTAGTAGTAGTAGTAGTAGTAGTAGTAGTAGTAGTAGTAGTAGTAGTAGTAGTAGTAGTAGTAGTAGTAGTAGTAGTAGTAGTAGTAGTAGTAGTAGTAGTAGTAGTAGTAGTAGTAGTAGTAGTAGTAGTAGTAGTAGTAGTAGTAGTAGTAGTAGTAGTAGTAGTAGTAGTAGTAGTAGTAGTAGTAGTAGTAGTAGTAGTAGTAGTAGTAGTAGTAGTAGTAGTAGTAGTAGTAGTAGTAGTAGTAGTAGTAGTAGTAGTAGTAGTAGTAGTAGTAGTAGTAGCGATGCTTGGATGGTGTTTGCGGGTTTGCTCTTTGTTTTTGTATTCCCTAGTTGGCTTGATTCTTTTATTTTATTTTATTTTCTGATTGGATTTTCCTATTTATTTGATTTGATTTTTCTTGAATGGTTTTGTCACCATTGCTTTTCTTGCTTGCGCTTTTCAGTTTCTTCTTTCTGATACCTGGTTTGTTTTCAAATAAAGGCGAAGTTCAGTAGTAGTAGTAGTAGTAGTAGTAGTAGTAGTAGTAGTAGTAGTAGTAGTAGTAGTAGTAGTAGTAGTAGTAGTAGTAGTAGTAGTAGTAGTAGTAGTAGTAGTAGTAGTAGTAGTAGTAGTAGTAGTAGTAGTAGTAGTAGTAGTAGTAGTAGTAGTAGTAGTAGTAGTAGTAGTAGTAGTAGTAGTAGTAGTAGTAGTAGTAGTAGTAGTAGTAGTAGTAGTAGTAGTAGTAGTAGTAGTAGTAGTAGTAGTAGTAGTAGTAGTAGTAGTAGTAGTAGTAGTAGTAGTAGTAGTAGTAGTAGTAGTAGTAGTAGTAGTAGTAGTAGTAGTAGTAGTAGTAGTAGTAGTAGTAGTAGTAGTAGTAGTAGTAGTAGTAGTAGTAGTAGTAGTAGTAGTAGTAGTAGTAGTAGTAGTAGTAGTAGTAGTAGTAGTAGTAGTAGTAGTAGTAGTAGTAGTAGTAGTAGTAGTAGTAGTAGTAGTAGTAGTAGTAGTAGTAGTAGTAGTAGTAGTAGTAGTAGTAGTAGTAGTAGTAGTAGTAGTAGTAGTAGTAGTAGTAGTAGTAGTAGTAGTAGTAGTAGTAGTAGTAGTAGTAGTAGTAGTAGTAGTAGTAGTAGTAGTAGTAGTAGTAGTAGTAGTAGTAGTAGTAGTAGTAGTAGTAGTAGTAGTAGTAGTAGTAGTAGTAGTAGTAGTAGTAGTAGTAGTAGTAGTAGTAGTAGTAGTAGTAGTAGTAGTAGTAGTAGTAGTAGTAGTAGTAGTAGTAGTAGTAGTAGTAGTAGTAGTAGTAGTAGTAGTAGTAGTAGTAGTAGTAGTAGTAGTAGTAGTAGTAGTAGTAGTAGTAGTAGTAGTAGTAGTAGTAGTAGTAGTAGTAGTAGTAGTAGTAGTAGTAGTAGTAGTAGTAGTAGTAGTAGTAGTAGTAGTAGTAGTAGTAGTAGTAGTAGTAGTAGTAGTAGTAGTAGTAGTAGTAGTAGTAGTAGTAGTAGTAGTAGTAGTAGTAGTAGTAGTAGTAGTAGTAGTAGTAGTAGTAGTAGTAGTAGTAGTAGTAGTAGTAGTAGTAGTAGTAGTAGTAGTAGTAGTAGTAGTAGTAGTAGTAGTAGTAGTAGTAGTAGTAGTAGTAGTAGTAGTAGTAGTAGTAGTAGTAGTAGTAGTAGTAGTAGTAGTAGTAGTAGTAGTAGTAGTAGTAGTAGTAGTAGTAGTAGTAGTAGTAGTAGTAGTAGTAGTAGTAGTAGTAGTAGTAGTAGTAGTAGTAGTAGTAGTAGTAGTAGTAGTAGTAGTAGTAGTAGTAGTAGTAGTAGTAGTAGTAGTAGTAGTAGTAGTAGTAGTAGTAGTAGTAGTAGTAGTAGTAGTAGTAGTAGTAGTAGTAGTAGTAGTAGTAGTAGTAGTAGTAGTAGTAGTAGTAGTAGTAGTAGTAGTAGTAGTAGTAGTAGTAGTAGTAGTAGTAGTAGTAGTAGTAGTAGTAGTAGTAGTAGTAGTAGTAGTAGTAGTAGTAGTAGTAGTAGTAGTAGTAGTAGTAGTAGTAGTAGTAGTAGTAGTAGTAGTAGTAGTAGTAGTAGTAGTAGTAGTAGTAGTAGTAGTAGTAGTAGTAGTAGTAGTAGTAGTAGTAGTAGTAGTAGTAGTAGTAGTAGTAGTAGTAGTAGTAGTAGTAGTAGTAGTAGTAGTAGTAGTAGTAGTAGTAGTAGTAGTAGTAGTAGTAGTAGTAGTAGTAGTAGTAGTAGTAGTAGTAGTAGTAGTAGTAGTAGTAGTAGTAGTAGTAGTAGTAGTAGTAGTAGTAGTAGTAGTAGTAGTAGTAGTAGTAGTAGTAGTAGTAGTAGTAGTAGTAGTAGTAGTAGTAGTAGTAGTAGTAGTAGTAGTAGTAGTAGTAGTAGTAGTAGTAGTAGTAGTAGTAGTAGTAGTAGTAGTAGTAGTAGTAGTAGTAGTAGTAGTAGTAGTAGTAGTAGTAGTAGTAGTAGTAGTAGTAGTAGTAGTAGTAGTAGTAGTAGTAGTAGTAGTAGTAGTAGTAGTAGTAGTAGTAGTAGTAGTAGTAGTAGTAGTAGTAGTAGTAGTAGTAGTAGTAGTAGTAGTAGTAGTAGTAGTAGTAGTAGTAGTAGTAGTAGTAGTAGTAGTAGTAGTAGTAGTAGTAGTAGTAGTAGTAGTAGTAGTAGTAGTAGTAGTAGTAGTAGTAGTAGTAGTAGTAGTAGTAGTAGTAGTAGTAGTAGTAGTAGTAGTAGTAGTAGTAGTAGTAGTAGTAGTAGTAGTAGTAGTAGTAGTAGTAGTAGTAGTAGTAGTAGTAGTAGTAGTAGTAGTAGTAGTAGTAGTAGTAGTAGTAGTAGTAGTAGTAGTAGTAGTAGTAGTAGTAGTAGTAGTAGTAGTAGTAGTAGTAGTAGTAGTAGTAGTAGTAGTAGTAGTAGTAGTAGTAGTAGTAGTAGTAGTAGTAGTAGTAGTAGTAGTAGTAGTAGTAGTAGTAGTAGTAGTAGTAGTAGTAGTAGTAGTAGTAGTAGTAGTAGTAGTAGTAGTAGTAGTAGTAGTAGTAGTAGTAGTAGTAGTAGTAGTAGTAGTAGTAGTAGTAGTAGTAGTAGTAGTAGTAGTAGTAGTAGTAGTAGTAGTAGTAGTAGTAGTAGTAGTAGTAGTAGTAGTAGTAGTAGTAGTAGTAGTAGTAGTAGTAGTAGTAGTAGTAGTAGTAGTAGTAGTAGTAGTAGTAGTAGTAGTAGTAGTAGTAGTAGTAGTAGTAGTAGTAGTAGTAGTAGTAGTAGTAGTAGTAGTAGTAGTAGTAGTAGTAGTAGTAGTAGTAGTAGTAGTAGTAGTAGTAGTAGTAGTAGTAGTAGTAGTAGTAGTAGTAGTAGTAGTAGTAGTAGTAGTAGTAGTAGTAGTAGTAGTAGTAGTAGTAGTAGTAGTAGTAGTAGTAGTAGTAGTAGTAGTAGTAGTAGTAGTAGTAGTAGTAGTAGTAGTAGTAGTAGTAGTAGTAGTAGTAGTAGTAGTAGTAGTAGTAGTAGTAGTAGTAGTAGTAGTAGTAGTAGTAGTAGTAGTAGTAGTAGTAGTAGTAGTAGTAGTAGTAGTAGTAGTAGTAGTAGTAGTAGTAGTAGTAGTAGTAGTAGTAGTAGTAGTAGTAGTAGTAGTAGTAGTAGTAGTAGTAGTAGTAGTAGTAGTAGTAGTAGTAGTAGTAGTAGTAGTAGTAGTAGTAGCGATGCTTGGATGGTGTTTGCGGGTTTGCTCTTTGTTTTTGTATTCCCTAGTTGGCTTGATTCTTTTATTTTATTTTATTTTCTGATTGGATTTTCCTATTTATTTGATTTGATTTTTCTTGAATGGTTTTGTCACCATTGCTTTTCTTGCTTGCGCTTTTCAGTTTCTTCTTTCTGATACCTGGTTTGTTTTCAAATAAAGGCGAAGTTCAGTAGTAGTAGTAGTAGTAGTAGTAGTAGTAGTAGTAGTAGTAGTAGTAGTAGTAGTAGTAGTAGTAGTAGTAGTAGTAGTAGTAGTAGTAGTAGTAGTAGTAGTAGTAGTAGTAGTAGTAGTAGTAGTAGTAGTAGTAGTAGTAGTAGTAGTAGTAGTAGTAGTAGTAGTAGTAGTAGTAGTAGTAGTAGTAGTAGTAGTAGTAGTAGTAGTAGTAGTAGTAGTAGTAGTAGTAGTAGTAGTAGTAGTAGTAGTAGTAGTAGTAGTAGTAGTAGTAGTAGTAGTAGTAGTAGTAGTAGTAGTAGTAGTAGTAGTAGTAGTAGTAGTAGTAGTAGTAGTAGTAGTAGTAGTAGTAGTAGTAGTAGTAGTAGTAGTAGTAGTAGTAGTAGTAGTAGTAGTAGTAGTAGTAGTAGTAGTAGTAGTAGTAGTAGTAGTAGTAGTAGTAGTAGTAGTAGTAGTAGTAGTAGTAGTAGTTTCTGGCAGCGCGACTGATACCACTGGATAAGCGACCTGGCGTGCGGCCCATCGCTGTGGGTGAGGTGTTTCGGCGTGCAGTTGGCAAGGCAATCATGGCGGCGATTGAGAAGGATGTGGTGATTGCGACGGCGCCAACCCAGCTGTGCGTCGGGATACCATCGGCATGTGAAGTGGCTGTGGAGGCGCTGTCATCGGTATTTGCCAAGGAGGAGTCAGAGGCAATACTCCTCGTCGACGCCACTAACGCCTTTAATTCAGTGAACCGGGCAGCTGCACTGAACAACATACCACGCGTGTGCCCAGCTGCAGGGCGGGTATTTGTGAACACGTACCAAGCGGATATCCCCCTGTACCTGGATGGTGGCGAGACACTCTACTCAAGAGAGGGCACGTGCCAAGGAGATCCACTGGCCATGGCATTTTATGCTTTGGCTACCGTCCCTCTGGCCAAGCATCTGTCCACAACATGCAGTGGTTCCATGCAGGTGTGGTATGCTGACGACGATGCCGCTGTGGACCGCGTTGTGGCACTCGGTGAGTACTGGAACTGCATCTCGGCCGAGGGCCCGAAGTATGGCTACAAGCCTAATGCTGCCAAGACCGTGCTCCTCGTCAAGAGCCATCTGGTGTCAGACGCTGAGCGGGTATTTGCTGGCACTGGCATCCGGATTTGCTCTGATGGCGTCCGGTATCTCGGTGGAGTCATCGGCAGCACTGAGTTCTGTGATGGGTTTGTGGGAAGCCGTGTGGGTGACTGGTGTGCTTTAACCAAGAGGCTGGCGAGTGTTGCAGAGACCCAGCCCCACGCGGCTTACCACTTATTCATCTCTGCCATTCAGTCTCGGTGGTCATACTTGCAGCGCGTTGCTAATGCTGACGGGGCACTCTACGCACCCCTGGATCGCGTCCTAAATGATCAGCTGCTGCCTGCATTCACGGGCCATTCTGTGCCGGTTGAGGGAGGTTTGCGAGCACTGCTTTCCCTTCCAGCAAAGCTTGGTGGTCTTGCGGTCCGTAGCAATGTGTCACGGGCGGCTGCTGAGCGCACCTTGTGCCGAGACGCCATTGCACCCATGGTGGAGTTGGTAGTCGGTGGCACCTCCACGCATGAGGTGTCGTCTGTGGTAACAGCATGCAGGACATTGGCTGCAGGTGCTCGGGCGGCGCGCCGTGTTCAGCAGCGGAACTTGGCAGAGGAGATCCGATCCGGCCTCCCGCCCACGCAACGGCTACTGGTAGAGGTCGCAGGTGAAGATGGCGTCTCAAGTTGGTTGACGACTCCACCTGCGACTACAATGCCTGGGACCGTTTTCAGCAGGACGGATTTCCGTGATGCTGTGGGCCTACGATATGGCCTTCCCTTGGAAGGTTTGCCAGCATCATGCGTGTGTGGCAAAGACATGACAAGCCACCACGCTATGACATGCCCCTGTGGCGGGTACCCAACGCAACGTCACAACGAGGTTCGGGACCTGCTGGCTAGTGCCATGTCCGAGGTGGCGTATGATGTCGAGTTGGAGCCTGTTCTGCTGCCTCTCGATGGTGAGACGGTCTCAGGTATTAGAGCTGATGCCGCTCGTGCAGACATACGGGCTCGCGGTTTCTGGACGCGACAGCAAAACGCCTTCTTTGATGTTCGGGTTACCCACCCAAGGCCGTCTTTGCTGTCGCGTTCGGGAGTAGCGAGCCAGTTGTCTGACAACGAGAGGCAGAAGAAGCGCCAGTACTCGAGCCGGATCAACAACGTCGACCGCGGTTCGTTCACGCCGTTGGTTTTCGCCACCAATGGGCAGTGTGCGCCGGAGGCGTCAATATTCCTGAAGTCGTTAGCAGCTCAAATCAGTGAAAGGAACCGTGATCTCCCCTACTCACTGATCATGCGCCAGCTTCGTGCCCGGATCAGTGTGTGCCTGATTCGCTGGCAAATAACTTGTCTGCGGGGGTCACGGCACTCGTACCGCCGAAGGCTCATGGGTGCTGGTCATGGCGGTTTTGTGGTGGAGTGTAGGGCCCGTGCCCACCTGGCTGTTTAGCATGCCTGACCTAACTGTTTCATGATATTGTCTGTATTTTTGTTGTAGCAATTTTGCTATTATATGTTGGTCATGATTTGATGGTTGACTTGCCCGTTTTCTTTGTGTACCTTATCTGGTTTTCTCTTGTCTGGGTTGTTGGATTAGTTGGGTAAACGGTGCTGCTTTGATTGTGTTTGCGGATGCGGGTTTACTCTTTGTTTTGGTATTCGATAGTTGACTTGATTCTTTTATTTTATTTTCTTATTGGATTTTCCGATTTATTTGATTTGATTTTCCTATCTACGATATACTTGATTGGATTTGTCACCATTGCTTTCTTTGCTTCCGTTTTTTGAATTCTTCATTCCGGCACCCAGTTTGTTATCAAATAAAGTCAACGTTCTCAGTAGTAGTAGTAGTAGTAGTAGTAGTAGTAGTAGTAGTAGTAGTAGTAGTAGTAGTAGTAGTAGTAGTAGTAGTAGTAGTAGTAGTAGTAGTAGTAGTAGTAGTAGTAGTAGTAGTAGTAGTAGTAGTAGTAGTAGTAGTAGTAGTAGTAGTAGTAGTAGTAGTAGTAGTAGTAGTAGTAGTAGTAGTAGTAGTAGTAGTAGTAGTAGTAGTAGTAGTAGTAGTAGTAGTAGTAGTAGTAGTAGTAGTAGTAGTAGTAGTAGTAGTAGTAGTAGTAGTAGTAGTAGTAGTAGTAGTAGTAGTAGTAGTAGTAGTAGTAGTAGTAGTAGTAGTAGTAGTAGTAGTAGTAGTAGTAGTAGTAGTAGTAGTAGTAGTAGTAGTAGTAGTAGTAGTAGTAGTAGTAGTAGTAGTAGTAGTAGTAGTAGTAGTAGTAGTAGTAGTAGTAGTAGTAGTAGTAGTAGTAGTAGTAGTAGTAGTAGTAGTAGTAGTAGTAGTAGTAGTAGTAGTAGTAGTAGTAGTAGTAGTAGTAGTAGTAGTAGTAGTAGTAGTAGTAGTAGTAGTAGTAGTAGTAGTAGTAGTAGTAGTAGTAGTAGTAGTAGTAGTAGTAGTAGTAGTAGTAGTAGTAGTAGTAGTAGTAGTAGTAGTAGTAGTAGTAGTAGTAGTAGTAGTAGTAGTAGTAGTAGTAGTAGTAGTAGTAGTAGTAGTAGTAGTAGTAGTAGTAGTAGTAGTAGTAGTAGTAGTAGTAGTAGTAGTAGTAGTAGTAGTAGTAGTAGTAGTAGTAGTAGTAGTAGTAGTAGTAGTAGTAGTAGTAGTAGTAGTAGTAGTAGTAGTAGTAGTAGTAGTAGTAGTAGTAGTAGTAGTAGTAGTAGTAGTAGTAGTAGTAGTAGTAGTAGTAGTAGTAGTAGTAGTAGTAGTAGTAGTAGTAGTAGTAGTAGTAGTAGTAGTAGTAGTAGTAGTAGTAGTAGTAGTAGTAGTAGTAGTAGTAGTAGTAGTAGTAGTAGTAGTAGTAGTAGTAGTAGTAGTAGTAGTAGTAGTAGTAGTAGTAGTAGTAGTAGTAGTAGTAGTAGTAGTAGTAGTAGTAGTAGTAGTAGTAGTAGTAGTAGTAGTAGTAGTAGTAGTAGTAGTAGTAGTAGTAGTAGTAGTAGTAGTAGTAGTAGTAGTAGTAGTAGTAGTAGTAGTAGTAGTAGTAGTAGTAGTAGTAGTAGTAGTAGTAGTAGTAGTAGTAGTAGTAGTAGTAGTAGTAGTAGTAGTAGTAGTAGTAGTAGTAGTAGTAGTAGTAGTAGTAGTAGTAGTAGTAGTAGTAGTAGTAGTAGTAGTAGTAGTAGTAGTAGTAGTAGTAGTAGTAGTAGTAGTAGTAGTAGTAGTAGTAGTAGTAGTAGTAGTAGTAGTAGTAGTAGTAGTAGTAGTAGTAGTAGTAGTAGTAGTAGTAGTAGTAGTAGTAGTAGTAGTAGTAGTAGTAGTAGTAGTAGTAGTAGTAGTAGTAGTAGTAGTAGTAGTAGTAGTAGTAGTAGTAGTAGTAGTAGTAGTAGTAGTAGTAGTAGTAGTAGTAGTAGTAGTAGTAGTAGTAGTAGTAGTAGTAGTAGTAGTAGTAGTAGTAGTAGTAGTAGTAGTAGTAGTAGTAGTAGTAGTAGTAGTAGTAGTAGTAGTAGTAGTAGTAGTAGTAGTAGTAGTAGTAGTAGTAGTAGTAGGTCTGTGGCGAGTGACGTGCGAGGTGCTCTTCACACCTCGCGTCTCTTCGCCCGTGCTGCAGGCTGCATGGCATGTCACGGCGTGGGGCGTCGGCTGGGCCCTGTTGCTCCTGCAGCAAGAAAACTGGAACGTGCGGAGCATGTTCGTGCAATAGGGATGGACGATGCTGTTTCAATTGCTACCCAGGTCAAGTTGGGCGCTGCAAGAATTTTGGAAATTGTGATTTGCATGATGTTGGAGGATCAGAGGTGCCTCAGGGCCTTTCTGCTGGTGATCCGCCGGCCTGGAGTGGGCGAAGAGTGCAGCCTTCTCGATCGGGTGAGTCCGCTGCTGGCCGGACCGGTGGTGTGCCTCGCGAGGTACGGGCGACTTTGGTATCCAGGCCCCCGTCATCGGCCGCCGAACGCTCGGGTGCGGCACCGGCGCCTGAGGTCGCTGGGTCTTCCCAATCTTCTGTGTCTGCGACTGCGGTTCCGTGTGGGGAGTCACTACGGGTGGACTTGCCTGTTCCTGTGTGCTCCGGGATGGTTCCTGATTGCGCTGCCGCCCCTTCGCCCGTGGGTGCTTCTGCTGACCCCACTGCAGCTTCCCGGGTATCTGCGTCTGCAGCGCCGACCTCTGTGGGTCCCGGCTCGTCTCGACAGCCTCAGTTTGTTGATCTGCCACCCGAGAAATGTGATTCTCCAGAACCTGATGGCTTTTGGTCGTTGCCAACAGACGATATAATCATTTTAATGGACAAAACCCATGCAGAAATAGTCAAGTGGCAACGGAATCTATTTATCATACCTTTCGGGGATGAGGGTCGTCGGTTCGTCAAAGAACTAGCTCGCCTGATTGGTCTTTTCAGCGGCGGAACTCGCGACGGAGCTTTTGCATGGTCGGCTGTGGTCATTGCTTGCCATCTGATTTTGCAGCGGCCTTTTGTAGTATCCAATGCCTCTGACAACAAGAAATCGTTACGCAAGCGTCTTGACTGGTGGATGTGCGGAGACATGGCGGCATTGCTGCGTGAGGCACGGTGCATTCAAGCCCATCTACCCAGATCAACACCTGGCAAAACAGCAGCTAATGGTCTGGATGACGTCGAGTTCGCAAAAATGGTATACAGCGACCGCATTGGAACAGCTGCTCACTACCTGGAGGATGATGGTGGTGGTGGCGTACTCCCGTTGGACAAGATTGTGGGTGGCAAGTCGGTACTGGAATTGTTGAGAGACAAGCATCCTGTTCCGGCTGATGCAGAACCAGAGATTCTACTCGATGATGAAGCCACAGTCCAGGAGAATGTGCTGTTTGATTCAATAACACCAGCTCAAATCCGCAAGACCTGCATGATTATGAAGGGGGCAGCGGGTCCGTCAGGCCTTGACTCCGCTGCCTGGCGTCGGATGGCCTCAATGTATACATCAGCTTCTGACGACCTGTGCTCGGCTCTGGCTCGTGCTGCCAAGCGTCTTTGCACTGAGGCAATTGAGCCGCGGGATCTCCGCTCATTCCTGGCAGCAAGGCTCATTCCATTGGATAAGCAGCCTGGGGTAAGGCCTATAGCCATCGGGGAGGTGTTTCGCCGCGTGATCGGGAAAGTGGTCATGTCGGTTATCGAGAGGGATGTGGCTGCGGTTACTGCTCCTCATCAGCTGTGCGTCGGCGTCCCGTCGGCTTGCGAGGTCGGGGTGCAGGCTTTGACCGGCCTCTATGACCGCGAGACGACTCAAGGTATTCTGCTGGTGGATGCGTCCAACGCCTTCAATTCTCTGAACAGGGCCGCGGCGCTGCACAACATTCCAAGAATCTGTCCTGCCGCTGGGCGAATTTTCATTAACACCTACCAGGCCGACATCCCTCTATACCTCAATGGCGGAGAGGTCATTTATTCCCGGGAGGGTACATGCCAAGGGGATCCTCTTGCCATGGCGTTCTACGCTCTCGCGACTGTGCCCCTGGCATCTCGGCTGTCGCGTCGACTTCCAAGCACCAGCCAGATTTGGTACGCGGATGACGATGCCGCAGCCGGAGAGCTCCTGCCGCTGCGTGGGTATTGGGATTGCATCGTGGAGGAGGGGCCCCGGTATGGCTACCACCCCAATGCCATGAAGACGGTTTTACTCGTCCGTCCACATTTAATGGAAAGGGCCCAGGAGGTATTTGCCGGCACTGATGTCCGTATCCGGAGCGACGGCGTTCGTTACCTTGGCGGGGCCATTGGAGACCAACAGTTCCGAGAGAATTTTGTGAAGAGCCGTGTTGAGGAACTGTCCACATTGGTTAGGCGCCTTGCTGGTCTGGCTGTCACCCAGCCTCAGGCGGCCTTTCGCGTCTTCTCTGCCTCTCTGCAGTCCCGTTGGACCTATCTGCAGCGTGCAGTCTTTGTGGACCCTGTCCTGTATACGCCACTGGATGACGTCATCAACAAACATCTGCTGCCAGCATTGACAGGCCATCCTCTTGCGGCTGATGGTGTACTCCGTCAGCTCTTTGCAATGCCTGTGAGGAATGGAGGGCTGGCTATCCGCATTGGCAGTTTGCGTGCGGAGGCTGAGTACCTTCTTTGCCGGACGTCGATAATGCCCATGGTGGATTGCGTGCTGACTGGTGCTGTCGATGGTCCTGATGCTATCGACGGTCCTGTTGCCGATATCATCGCTGCCTCCAGGGGTTTGGCCACGCAGGCTCGCCGGGAACGCCGTGCGCAGCACAATGCTGCATTGGAGGAGATCAGGCCCGCTCTGACGGATGAGCAGCGCCTACTAGTGGATGTCGCGGGTGACGGCGGTGTGTCAACGTGGCTGGTTACGCCTCCATCGGCTTCATTTCCTTTAACTATATTCAACAAGTCTGATTTTCGAGACGCATTGTGCCTGAGGTATGGCCTGCCGCTTGATGGCATATCATTATCCTGTGTTTGTGGCCAAGACATGTCAGTTCATCACGCCCTCACGTGCCCAAGCGGGGGATACCCTACCCAGAGACATAATGAACTTCGCGACCTCCTAGCGGACGCACTCGCTAGTGTTGTTTGCGATGTCGAGATTGAGCCACCGCTGATGCCGCTGGGTGGTGAAGCCGTCTCTGGGGGCTCAGCTGACGGTGCTCGTGTGGATATACGGGCTCGTGGCTTCTGGACCAGGCAGCAAAACGCCTTTTTTGATGTACGGGTCACGCACCCAAGGCCGTCTTTGCTGTCTGGACCAGAAGTGTCGAGGCAGTTATCCCAACACGAGCGTCAGAAGAAACGTCAGTATTCAGATCGAATCAACCAGGTGGATCGAGGATCGTTCACTCCGCTTGTTTTCGCCACCAGTGGACAGTGTGCTCCCGAATGTGGCATCTTCCTCAAGACCCTCGCAACACAACTGCACCATAAGAACTCGGACATACCGTATCGTCTCATCATCAGCCACTTGCGCTCGAGAATCAGTCTATCTCTGATGCGGTGGCAGATTACTTGCTTCCGGGGGTCACGTGCATCATACCTACGCAGTGGATCCGGCATTGGCCGACATTGCTTTGTAACGGAGTGCCGTACATTGGCTCATATGCCGCGCTGACGGGCATCAATGGACTTGCCATAATATTGTCATTGGTTTCATTCTGTCTCAGAGTGTTCTGTTGTATTTGTTTTCGTTTTAAAAGCGTTTGAGCGGTTGGGTGAATGGAAATGTCACCGTACTGGTAGTAGCGATGCTTGGATGGTGTTTGCGGGTTTGCTTTTTGTTTTTGTATTCCCTAGTTGGCTTGATTCTTTTATTTTATTTTATTTTCTGATTGGATTTTCCTATTTATTTGATTTGATTTTTCTTGAATGGTTTTGTCACCATTGCTTTTCTTGCTTGCGCTTTTCAGTTTCTTCTTTCTGATACCCGGTTTGTTTTCAAATAAAGGCGAAGTTCAGTAGTAGTAGTAGTAGTAGTAGTAGTAGTAGTAGTAGTAGTAGTAGTAGTAGTAGTAGTAGTAGTAGTAGTAGTAGTAGTAGTAGTAGTAGTAGTAGTAGTAGTAGTAGTAGTAGTAGTAGTAGTAGTAGTAGTAGTAGTAGTAGTAGTAGTAGTAGTAGTAGTAGTAGTAGTAGTAGTAGTAGTAGTAGTAGTAGTAGTAGTAGTAGTAGTAGTAGTAGTAGTAGTAGTAGTAGTAGTAGTAGTAGTAGTAGTAGTAGTAGTAGTAGTAGTAGTAGTAGTAGTAGTAGTAGTAGTAGTAGTAGTAGTAGTAGTAGTAGTAGTAGTAGTAGTAGTAGTAGTAGTAGTAGTAGTAGTAGTAGTAGTAGTAGTAGTAGTAGTAGTAGTAGTAGTAGTAGTAGTAGTAGTAGTAGTAGTAGTAGTAGTAGTAGTAGTAGTAGTAGTAGTAGTAGTAGTAGTAGTAGTAGTAGTAGTAGTAGTAGTAGTAGTAGTAGTAGTAGTAGTAGTAGTAGTAGTAGTAGTAGTAGTAGTAGTAGTAGTAGTAGTAGTAGTAGTAGTAGTAGTAGTAGTAGTAGTAGTAGTAGTAGTAGTAGTAGTAGTAGTAGTAGTAGTAGTAGTAGTAGTAGTAGTAGTAGTAGTAGTAGTAGTGTGTGTGTGTTCAGATGTGTGTTTTTGTGTAGGGGATCTGTGCATGTTGCCGGATGTGTCTGTTTGTTGGGCCTTAAATATCAATGTCGATAAGATAAAAAATCCTTGTGGCTGATAGGAACATCGCACCATCTGACATCGGCAACATTGTTGTTTTGAAAGGGAAGGCAACAGAGGATTTGCCCCTATTCCTCTCTACCTTGGTTCTGTTGCTACACCGGTTTACTCGCTAGAAGAGAATTGCGCCGGCGTAATGTTGAAGCACACAATCCCTTTTGTGAACTGTGATGTGTTTTGTCCACAAAACCTGTCCCTGTGCCCCAAATGACATCTAAACTTTTCCTGTATAGCCTCCATCCTAGTGTATAGTACTGAGTGCTGGACTCCGCTGAAAGCAGACCTTGAAACCAGGCATTTCAACATGTTTTGGCCAGCATTGCCCTGAGGGGTTAGGTCACCTTGCCAGAATGCCAAACCTCCCAGATTTCCAATCAGCTCCTGTTTGGACAGCTGCCCAATGCTTCTTTGAGATGTTGTCCAAGTAAGAAAAAAACAGGCGATGGGATGCAACTACTCATGACTTAAAAGCTAGGGACATCCCCATCTTTTGTCGGTCTGAGATGGCTGATGGTAGAATGTAGTGGTTTACGACGGTCATGAATTGGGCTTCTCCGCACTGACTGACACCACCAACAATGTCGATAGTCTGCTTCATTGTTCTGTTGATTATTCTTCTCCAAACTCTGCTACCTTGCTTGCCACACATGTCTGGAGGAGCAACACATTTTTATCTCCTTGCAATGTGGCTCAATCCTGTGTTCTACCTGGTATCTGCTCTATAAGCCTTTCATCGCTTATGGTCATGAAATGTCACAAGTTGGCAGTGTGTGCGTGTGGTTCTATGTGCACTTGAGAGGGAATGCATGTATGCAGGTATGTGCATGTTTTTGAGTGTGTATTCTGTGGGTGGGTGGTTGAGCGTGTGTGGGTGCATGTTAGTGTAAGTGTGTGTTTGGGTGTTAACGTGTGTGGGCCAATGTATGAAGAGGAGAGAGTGTGAGTGAAATAACAGTGGTGCTGCACAACAAATACAGGTTTTGCTCGCAACATGAGCCATTAGTTAGTAAGTGATCATCATTGCAGCAAGAAAACCATTTCAATAAAATTGTATTACAAAGAGGTATTTACTTCTGCATGGGTTATAATGTGGGTATCCAATGACAACATACATGTAGTTTGTGTAAAATGTACATGTATGTGTAATTGTATGTTGTTGATTACTCAGGGGTCGTCTGTAAACACATGTATTTACTTAGAGACGTCTAACAGGCGTTTGTGGTGGGTTCGCCTGCAAGGCGTATTTAAAAAATACATTTCAGAGTGCATGCATACCATACCGCGTGTGTACATGTACATGATGTACTATACTGTAGTGGATATGGAAATCCGGTCGCATGTCTAGCGGCCCCAGGGCGCTGGCCATGCAGCCGTGGGCAAGAAGACCACACATGCGCTGGCCATGCAGCCGTGGGCAAGAAGACCACACATGCGCTGGAACGCGCTGGTCGCATCGGAACAACATGACTGTGCACTGTTCTGTACGCGCTGACGGCGCCGGCCCCGGTTAATCGACTGGATTTCCATGTCCACGACAGTAGCACTGCTACAGCTAGTACTGGTAGGCGTTGAGATGCACTACTTTGCACTACACGCGTCACAGCAGACTAGACAGGGACACATACACAGCCATACTCTGTACTCCCAGAAACATGCGCTTGCATGCAGTGACAGGCAGCTACCAGCAGACTTGTAGGTGTGAAACAGGATCCCTGGGCTTGTATTGGTTTCAGGTTCAGGTGCACAATGTAGCCCATGACAGTATGACTCAGGTGCACTTGCTTTACATGTACATGCGGCCCTACAAGATTTGGTTCGTTATAAACGAAAACGCTGCTGTAACTTCGCTATAAAGGGTCAATTTTTGTATGGTTTCAAACAGGGACATGGACAAGGGTTCGCTATAACACGAAATTCGTTAATATGCGAGTTCGTTATAAGTGGAATCGACTGTACTGTATATGTGTTCATAGCATGGTGTTTATTATGAGTGGTATTATCTGCACTTTCGGGGGCCTTGCTGGGGGTGGGTGGGTTAAGAAAGAAACGCCTATTTGACGTCTCTAAGTAAATACATGAATTTACGGCCACCACCCCCCCCCCCACCCGTGTGCCGCTTTTCTCTTTTGTTTCTCTGGGCCTTTTGAAGTTTTTCTGAGCAGCTGGCTTTACTGCATTGTTGATCAATTTTGCACGTAAAAGAGGCTACTGTTTACATGTAATCCTTACAACATGATTGGAACACCAAGACCATACCTGTAGTCGGTGGTTGAAAGCATCAGCAATGATCACTCGTTCATCATCTGTTACATGCACAGCTAGCGGGGAGTTGAACTCTCCACAGTTTGTACCCCTCCGACCAGTCGTCTGCTTGAACTGGCCATCAACACCGTGTATCTAAGTGTATTGACAAAAAGGAATACAATTTACAAATGTTAACACAACCATGCACCCATACATAGCCCAGATCCAAACATACATGTAGTAAACATTTGGTTGCAGTTCTATAGTGTGAATCTAGCGAAAAGCTCGTCCAAAAATGTCAGTCACACCTACACACCCAATGTGCTGTCGGCCACCCCATTCCACTTGCACATCACCACCACAGCCAGGACAATTTAGTTGAGATACTGACTTTTCAGACCCTCCAGATAGCTTTTTGGTCCAACATGGTGACAGAGCTCATCAGTGGAGGTTGTTGATAATGGTTGATTAAGATCCAATGAGTGATTGATGTTGTATAGGTGAACAATTTCACAATTTCACAGTTTCTCTCTAGTGTGGCATGCCCTAGCAAACAAAGGGGTAAGGTGATAACCGACAGTTTTAACAGATGTGAAAATACAAGTGTGCAGTGTTTGGATATTCAGCACTCGTATGTATGAGTGGCTATTGGCTACTAGTAGCACCTCTCTTTGTTTGTTGATTTTGCACCAATTCTAGTACTGCAGACGACCTGAAAGCATGTCCCAGTAACGCACACTTGCACTATCTGTTATCACCTATAGCCTCAGTGTCCTATGGCATGCTACACTTCGATGAAAAAAGCGCACAATTGCGACTGTTTTACCCTATAATAGCATGATCCCTTCACCCGGATCACCCACTATCACCAACCACCACTGATGGGCTCTGCTGGAGCAAAGCAGCTGCCTTCAGGGTCTGAGATATCAATATCACAATGGAATTGTCCTCGTTGCGGTGGTGATGTGAAATTGGAATGGCTCGGCCAAGAAAATATTTACGAGTGGGGGTGTCACAGGTATTCAAAGTCTTTTGTGATTTATAATAATCACCTTTCTCCAGTTTGAAAGTTTAGAAAAACTGATCACTTCTGAAGAGAAATGAAATTCTACTCATATCAACTTCTCAGCTCTTGTGTTCACTAGGCTTACAGGTTAACTGAATGGTGCAATAACGTAAAATTTAGAATTTTGAAGAATTCATCCAAGGGATTGTCTACTACTGTTTCAGACAGTCTTGAGCATCTTCAACCTCACCAATAGGGATCCTTATTTTTCAATTCAACAAATGCACACACAGACCCTCCCGAGCAGGTCCTCTATCATTGTGACATTTATATACAAACTGTACTTGTCGGTTAGCACTGTACTGTGAGTTCAGTTACCTTTATTCTGTTGTTGCTGCGGTCACAGATGATCAGGTCACCAGCTTTATTGGATGCTAGTCCCCAAGGGCCGTTGAACTTATCTCTCCCACGGCCGCAGCTGCCAAGTGAGTACCTTGATCTGCGGATCTGTGTGTAATCACGCTGCAATACAGGAGAGCAGTAAGAACAACAGCAATCAACACTAGGACCACAGAGGGAGAGAGTAGTGATGCCAAACCTGGCTGTGTGGTCATACACTTCATACTTCGATTTCAAATTTTCATTGGCCTCATGTTTCGTATAAGGAGTAGATGATGGGATATACATCACCCTAAGGTGAGGGAACACATTTTTGACTATACAACCCTACAAAAATTGATCAGAATGGGCAGCGCTATCAATCCTCCGGAAGGTGTATGACAAAGCAGTTTCAAGCGTTGCAATGACCTCAACTCAACATTGAGGCGACAACAATTGAGTCGGCAGCAAAACGAACAAAGGAAAGGACTACACTAATATCATTTGTAGCATAACTAGTCATATATACTCATGGTTTTGCCCTGCATAGTGAAACTCTGACTTGAACACACACCAGTGTTGTGTGTATGTAAACTATACTCAACTAATGCATGATGACGTCATACATGTACCACTATACACCCAGTCATGCAGGGCAACAGACTGTAGGAGAAATTTGATACACCGTCGCATAAACTTGTACTTGTAAAAGTAAGCCTTTCAAAGGTAGACCAACCTTCTGTGGTGGAGATGCAGCTACTACTGCTGCTGCTGCTGATGATGATACTCCTGATGCTGTTAATGACAACGTGTTTCTGGGCAAGGTAGACTGATCTGAGGCTGACCCTTGTCTGGGCACACTAGCCGGTGTTTGAGCTGAGGAAGCGCTGGATGACGTCATCGGTGGTGTTGCAGAAGATGCACTGCGTGGTGATGGAGAGGACTGGGGAATAGAGTCACGGCTGTGTGAGGTAGTCGCTGTCAGACGTTGAGTCCTGGCACTAGACGACTGTCTGGAGGCACGTGATTCCAGCGCAGCAATGCGTGAGTCCACCGCAGCCGAGCGTGTATCCACTGCAGCCGATCGTGAATCCATGGAGGAGTTGATGGAAGCGAGAGTTGATGAGTGAGCACTGAGGTTAGTGTCGATGTTGGCAACTCTCTCCCTCAATGCATCCATGCCGTTCACTTTCTCTTCCACAGCTGTCACTCGGGTGATGATTGCCTGTTGTTGTGTGGAAATGGTTTGCAGTTGAGTCAGAATGTCTGCAAACTGACTCAAATAACGATCTGCGGACTAGACAAATACGTAAAAAAATAACACCATCCACAAAAACACACATACACATGTACACACATATTCACACACAAACACACACATGCACACACGCACACATATTCACACACATAAACACATACATGCATACGCATACACACACACACACACACACACACACACACACACACACACACACACACACACACACTATGGATTCTTATGCTCTGCGTGCGCCCAATTGAAGCATTTCTACCTATGGATGACAGAAAACACAAAAATCTCGTGATGTACAACGAGACAATTTCACAAATCCGAAAGAGAGCATTCAATTATTTTGCAAGGAAGAATTCAAAATTGACGAAGTGGAGCAGTAATCTCTGTATATTGAGTACTATAGTAGTACTAACTGGTCACTGCTATTATGGATTTAGGAGTCTCATCCGTAATTATCGAAAAATTAAAAAATCCGTCCTCGTGCAAAATTGTCTCTAACCCACCGACCCCATCCCAAGTTTGTCCCATTAATATTTTGATTTTTCCCAATGCCCAGCTATAAAAAAAGAACTCCTGACCCCAGGGTCACTGACTGCACCTGTGTCAGGTACATTGTACTAGTAGCTACTGTACTAGTTTGTTTTGTTTCTGGTTTTTGTTTGTTTTAGTTTTAGTAGGTCTACCAACGGCCATGCACGTCCTACAACTACATGTTCATCATACTGGTGTTTGCAACATTACGAGTACAGTCAGTACACTGCAAAGCCAGTGCAACAACTGTATGAAAGTGACTGAAGTAAAAACAGTTTATGAAAATTCGACTCGGAAAAATCTAAAAATTAAATTCCACCAGCACTCCTGACCACCCAACCCTTTTTGCATGAGGACGGATTTTTTAATTTTTTTAATTACGGACGACCCCTTATAGCTCTGATCCACTACTTTATGTTTTCATGTTACCATTCTGGATAAGGGACCTATGCAAATCTATAACAACCCACCAGTTGATTACATAATTTCACTGGGCTATACTATGCATACTGCAGATGCACTCTACTCCTACATGCATGTACACGTCACATGGCTGATGTCATAGGAACAGCCAGTCACCAGCCAGCATGTGATTGTGAGGCCTGTGTTTTTCAATACAATCATTTTGCACACGTCGATGTTTTGCCTTGTTCAGTGTAACAGTCCAGACAGGGTGCGCCGCCTCCACTGAAAGATCAGGACCCTTATCATGTGTAATACAATGTCATGCTGCACAGCCAGCTAAGACTTAGGGGGCGTTCGAATTGTCTTAAAGGGGAAGTATACCCTAAAATCAAATTTTCACCAGTTGTAGTCTTCTGGGTGCTGAGTCGAATGGTCTTGGTCCGAGGAAGCTGCGACGCTCCCTTCCTACTTGAATCCCAATCGAACTCGCGCACTTCCACTGAAACTGGGTGACTGCGCCCTACTAGATGGGGATTTGTATGCAAAATGTCACTAAAAGCGCCATTTCGTTCTTATAAAAGCACGGATGACCGCGATTGGCCCATATGTTGTAGTCTTTTGGACGCTGAGTCGACTGGTTTTGGTCCGAAAAGGCTGCGATGCAGCGTTCCTCCTTTATTCCCAATCGAACATGGTTGAACAAGCGGTCACGTGCTCCTGGGTGCCCAAATCACCTGGTCACCGCGCCAGCAGGTGACAACTTTCACACCAAGGTTCAACTCGAGTTCAACTCGAGTGACAGGACTGCACCCAAAAAAGGTCAAACAGGCTAGTAAGTTGTACCCTGCAGGCACGGTGACCAGGTGACTGGTGTACGCAGGAGCACGTGACCGCTTGTTCAACCATGTTCGATTGGGAATAAAGGAGGAACGCTGCATCGCAACCTTTTCGGACCAAAACCAGTCGACTCAGCGTCCAAAAGACTACAACATATGGGCCAATCGCGGTCATCCGTGCTTTTATAAGAACGAAATGGCGCTTTTAGTGACATTTTGCATACAAATCCCCATCTAGTAGGGCGCAGTCACCCAGTTTCGGTGGAAGTGCGCGAGTTCGATTGGGATTCAAGTAGGAAGGGAGCGTCGCAGCTTCCTCGGACCAAGACCATTCGACTCAGCACCCAGAAGACTACAACTGGTGAAAATTTGATTTTAGGGTATACTTCCCCTTTAATCAACTGTTCGAACACATTTTTAAAAGAGATTAGTTGAAGTGTCCCATTAGAACGGTTTCTGTCATTTTAGAGTTTTTCAGTCGAATTGTCTTGGCGATGAGGACGTCGGATAAGATCGACCATCTCCACGTACTACGTGACGTGGCTATTCCAAAGTCTTCGGAACTAATCCACCCCTCCCATCGGATGATGTTGTGGAGTTTCGAGGAGTTCGTTTTTCTGAAGAGGCCACCTCTTCCGGATTACGAATCTCCTGGAAAAGTCAAAGACAGACAATTTGGCGAACGCGCCTTTAGAGTACTTGTGTGAGTGTGTGCATAGGAAAAGCCAGGTCTAATGCATGCTCTGGAAGCTGCACCATTCAGGCATACATCAGCCAGTATTTCCCATTTACATATACACATTGCATGTATACCCAGCTAGGCTGTATGCTAACAGTACAGCACAGTGAGTACAAAGTCATGTTATACTATGTGAGTACATCCATACCATAGAGTGAGGTGAGATCTGCAGTAAGTGCATGTGAACATCAGCCGATGTTGGTCTAGATCCAGGATCATCATGCAGACACGACACGATTAGAGAACGTAGTGGGTGATCCGAGCCCAGTCGATCCAGATCTGCTTTGCGTCGGCGACCCTCCGGAACTGATCTCCGCGTTCCATTCTCCAGCAGAACAGTAGCTTCAGTTGGGGAAGGCGGTCGTCCCACAAGCAGCGATAGCATCACCACTCCTAGAGAAAACACATCCAGTTTTTCGTCGTATGTTGTGCCCACTTGCAGGCTCTCTGGCGGCATATAATAAGGCGTACCGGGGCACCGTGTCAGAGTTGTCAAGTCTGCACCTTGACCACCGTGAAGAGAGCGGGCCAAACCTACATCAGCTATCTTGGCTCTCCCTGCCGTGATCAAGATGTTGTGGGGTTTCAAATCGCGATGCAAAATGTTCTTGCCGTGTAAAAAGCGCAAACCTTCCGCCGTGTCGACAAGATACTGAAGGCTTTGCGCGAATGGCTCTCTTGGAACAACTCCAATTCGATCACCTAGCGAGCCGGCCATCAGTTCTACCACTATACACGGAGATTGATTGGGAGCAATGCCGATCCCGAGCAGTCGCACAATTCTTTCATGCTGCAGTCGCCGCATGACTAGGCACTCAGTGCCGAATCGCTGGAGAAGAGCTGCACGCCCGACATTGCCCTGTTGGAGTAAAATACTATGTAAGACCTTCACAGCAACAGGGAGACACACGCCATACCCATTGAGTCTTCGACCGGCAAACGTGCAAGGAAGCACCAGTCCCTGTTCAATGCACAGTGTTTCGTGGAATTTATCTCTCATCAGTTGAGCTTGAGTAAGCTGAGAAAGACTGCGCTAGAAGAGCACCACTTTCATCCTGCTCTCCAGGCCGGCATAACATCATGAAGGATTCAAACTTAACCAGGTGTTTCGAATCCAGCGCTAGTCAATCCAAAGATACCTCGCGAGTTACTAGGGAGGTTGCGCACAACGAAAATCACTGTCCGGGTTCGAGTAACGAAAATTGCTCCGAAAATCCATCCAAACGTGACCGAAACAGAGCAGATCTACGAAAATACTTTTCGCTACCTGGAGTACTAAAATTCTGATGTTTTACGACTCCCTGTCTTGACTCTTCGCACCCGCGCGGCCGCTGCGTCGACCCCACTACGAAAAAGTTTACGCGTTGTGCGCAACCTCACGGTTTACGAATATTCCTTAGCTTTTTTCGTGAAAAAATATTCGTTACGGCACTACGAATTTCCGTTGTGCACAACCTCTCTCTTGACTTGCTTGTGTGGGGGAAGGGGCTAAAAGAGCATACAAGAGGGAGAATACTCAAGGCATTAAAGTGATGTTAGTGTAATTCATCTCATAGTACAGAATATGCTACATCATCAGCAAATCAAGTACCAGTACATGTAGTCTCTTTGATGCATATTCTAGTATCATGTCAAACAAATGTTTGGCTAGGAGCAGGAGTGAGGAGAAACCAGTAAGGTAGACCTATATCAACAACACAATTATAAAAGGTGAAAGGGAACTGCACCGAACAAAGTTACACCATTGTTTAAGCAACATGAACACACACTATGTACGTACATTATATCTAATCGCCACACACACACGTACACACATACACGCACACACACATACATGCACACACACACGCATGCACACTACACACACACGCACACACACGCACACACACACACGCACACACACACACACACACACACACACACGCATGCACACTACACGCATACACGTAGTCACAAACATCCTCATACACGGAGGTGAGCAAAACAAGAAAAAGCGAAAATGTGCTTTGGAAAGGACATGTGAGGAGTGGTGGGATTACTATGACAACGAAGATGAGATTCTGGCACTAACCTGCAACAACCCTACAACATTGCCCTGTTTTATTCTTGACAGCGCTAAAAGCAATAGAATGTGCAAGAATGGACTCGGATGGAGAGCCAAGGCCGGATTAATTTATACAAAAGAGAAAGATTTGGCTAAAAGGGAAAGGACCAAGAAACTACAAGTTACGCTACACTATCCACTATAACACCACCAGTTACTAAACGATCAGCCCATGCGATAACATTGCACGACACTGACCGACGGTACTGACGTTCTACAACTAACTGGCTAACAGCTCTAGCCCATGTTGGATGCGCACTCCAACAGCCTTGCATCTTGGAAGGTTCTAAGTATCATAGTTATAGAATACAAACATAAGGAGGGGGACTTGTAACTTGTAGTTCCTTGCTCCTTTTTCTTTCTTATAATTCATTCTTGGCTCTCCATCCCAGTCCAATTGTATAGAAGGTGAAAGAGAACATGGTGAAACATAAACAATAGAACTACGATTCTAATCATTCTAACAACAATTCGGCTTCAACTCTCCAGGAATCAACGTTCTGCGGAGGAACAAATCAGAGCAAAGGAACTACTTCGAAGTACAGTATTTACAGAAGGCAATGCTGCAGACGTAGCACATACATGTATATATACTTGAGGGGCTGAGATATCAAAGTGTGATTTCCAACAATGAATATACGAACTTGAGGGGCTGAGATATCAAAGTGTGATTTCCAACAATGAATATACGCACTTGAGGGGCTGAGGTATCAAAGTGTGATTTCCAAAAAATGAATATACGAACTTGAGGGGCTGAGATATCAAAGTGTGATTTCCCACAATGAATATACGAGCAACAAAACCTACAAGGGGTACCGACAGCGAAAGTTGTGCATCAGCTACGAGAACGTGATAATCAAAAGACTTGATACCGTATTGAATCAAAACTCATAACAGAATAGGTTGGTTGGTAATAGCAGCGGCCATACTCGGCGACATAAAACTACTATTAGAATCCCCCATGTGCACACGCGTTGAGAGTAATCGCACTGTTATTCTGTACAATCCACACCAATTTGGATGGTAAATGCACTGATAAAATTAATAGCTTCTGAAATGTGTAACAGCAATATATAGCCATGAAAATGCACGGCACAAAGACAAAAACAAAATGTTTAATTTAAAAGTAGCAAAAACATCAGTGCTAGTTTTGAGGTGATTGTGTACTGGCCTTGTTTACGTGTTTTCCAGGTTACTCCGCCGTCCAACTCCCTACTAGTACACTTGATGTTGCAGCAGCTTGCTTTTCACACACGGATGGGCTGATTCGGCGGCATTATCGGGACCAACACTAACTTGTTGAGTGTGGAAACAGTCCGCACCTTGTATACCAGTGTCTAGTTGTAGTGAGTGTGTGCAGCAAATACAAACAGTCTAGTGCAGTCCTTGGTTTCCTATAGCCTTACGTATGCTCTGTTCAAAGTTGCCAGAATAGTATCTTCATGTGTTGTTCGATTCTGGTCGATCAAATTGTACGCGTAATTATTCTTGCCTGTGAGGATTCACAGGAAGTGTGAGTGTTGTTACGAAGTCTGAAGAATGTTGAACGGTCTCTGCTGGGATGACGACTACACCATAGCTCAGTGGTTAGAGCATCGCTGGATACAAGCGAGGGTCCCTGGTTTGAGTCCTGGTGATGACAGTCAATTTTGTCCGTTCAGACTTTTCCCGTTTATTCCCTCAAACCAGTGAATTATTCTTTTGTTCGTCTTTGCAGTATGTGTCCAACTTGTATTCAATCTGCGGACAGAACTGGTTCGTCCTTTGTGGACTTGTATCCATGGACTTTGTATTTATACAAATATCTTCATCTCTTGTAGGATCCAGGGAATAATCTGGGGAGACGGCATCTGTGCTGCCTGATTGTCTGCTAATTTGATGAAGGGAAGTAAGGTAACGTGTAGGGTACAGCGGATAATGCTCCGAAAATGTTCCTATAATGCTAATCATAATGCTCCAAAACTAACCCTGTAATGCTGACCATAATGCTGCAACAAGGGCTATAATGCTCTTGGTTTTGAACAAAAATGGAAGAAAGGCTGCACATTACCAAACTTCCAGGAAAGGATGCATTTAGCCGATCTGCCTCTGAAGCTGCTATAATATCTCTCACGAGCTCCACCACTTCTTAGCACTATAAGACATGATCGTGCCTCCATAGGCTGCTCTCCATTGCAACTTTGATGCAGGGCTGTGCCTGAATACTGGGTGTATCAAGTCGTTTTCCTTGATTATCCATGTAGTGAGAGGTGAAACCATTATTGCTGGTGATCATTTGGATGCTGGAAGCTTATCATGGGAAGTGGTATTCCTGCCTGCAGACAAGCTGTCACTGTGTCCACTCTGTGAAAAATGTCTTCATTTGAAACAGCTCATGTGAGGCCAGTTCCTGATAGACGATCTCAGATCGAGATCCCTCCCATTTGCGGAAATCCTGATAACAAGTGGTCAGAAGTTATTTTGCCGCTCTACATCCTCTGCTTGCACTGTCTTCTTCTCCTGAGGTTGCGTGGAGACAAAATGGTTGGCCACGATACTCTTCTTTTCTAAAAGCCCTTGACTGTAGGCTTTGCATTACAATCATTCACGACGAGCTGTACGTGCTTCACCAGGAAAGTAGGACACGTGCTGATGAGCACTCAAATCGACTTGGTACCGCGTCCACGAGACATTCTAGGTCTTTTCGAGCCTGCTGAGCTGGACTCGGCAAAGGCAGTTATTGGGAACAAGCTCTTTCTGTTTATAGCCGCTCCGCCATCCAGGTCCAAATTTATCAATGGATCAGTGTTTACTTCAGTATGGCTAGAGATGCTTTGGCCAGAGCCTATGGCATAACAGGAAATCTCCTCTTGGTCGTCTGTTTCATATTCACTTCGCGTAGATCTATATGTACGTCAAGTTTCCTCCATGGCTCTCCATGATTTCTAAAAAAGAACTCCTCCTAAATCATCGTTACGGATTCTGTGTAACAGCCTCAGCTGCAATTTGGGCATGCTGCATCGCCTGTACAGTTACCTGACCACATTGCTACATAACGACTTCATGTAGCGATGGCATTACACGTATATGTACATGTATGTAGTCGTGTAAATGTAGCATTAATGCTAAAGATGTTATGTGTCTACACAATCACAAATTCATGTGCCGGTACAATACATGGCGTTGCACCTCATGACTTTAGCCGATTGTTGCCAAAAACCTGATATTTCCCGACATTATCCACTATGAAACTCGTTATGCCGCTCAAACCTCACATAATGCTCGTCTTGTTCCTTTCTAATGCTCCATAATGCTCTGATGCTCGGATAGTATCATAATGCCGAATATAATGCAGGCATTATCCGCTGGACTCTAGTAACATGCCATTCCAAATGCAGGTGGGAGCAGGTTCCCAATTCGCAGCTATGATACCTCCATGGAAGCAAAACAACAAAGGTAGCAGTACTGGAATATGCCATTCGCAAATACACACAACTAAAATCGGGTATTACTTCGGTGTTTGTGAATCTTTTCCCACAAAATTTTGAGCACAGATTCATGATTCACGCCATCACCTAATAAAAGTACTACCTTGAACTTATTTACTTTGCATCGCCCCAAACGTTCACTGCACTGGAGAGTAAAAAAATGCCGTCATCTCAGATTTTTGGTACATGCTTGCAGCAACATAATATCAGCTGAAGTGTTAACATTGCATCACA